GGGAGAAAAAGACCACCCCGCCGCGTCAATCGGGCGGCGAGAAGGGCGCACAGCCGCTTGCAGACAGTTACGGGGCTGCGAGGCAGAGGGTCTGGGTGGTTTTTTTTTTATTAAACTTTTGCTGATCAGTATTTGCCCCGCGCTCACGAGCTAAACGCGATGCTCCCGAATTAATCTACGCCCGCCGGGAAGCATCGCACGCGTCCGACGCTCCCGTTTAGCGTTAAGCTCTCCGACGCGGGACGAAGCCGCGTAGCAGCGACAGGCTCCGTCAGATTTAACTCGGGTGATTTATTCCCTTCCCCACTTCAATAATAATAAAAAAATAAAAATCCCCAGATCTGCTAGGTAACGTAGGGAAATCAATAAAATAAGGTAAAAATACCAAGAGACCCCCAGTCAGAGACACCAACCAGCCAAGGAAGCGCACACCTACTACGAGGAGGAGGAAGCAGAGCTGGTGTTGCGCCCACAGCGTGGAGAAGGTGAAGCGGGGAGGAGGGAGGAAAGGAAAAAAAAAGTGAAAGCAGAGTCCCCCAAAGCAAAGACGCTCCGACCTTCCTCGCTCCGGTAAGAAGACACAAGGTACAAAAATGGATATATGCCTAAGCTATTCAGCTAGGAAAATATATATTACTTACATATTTTGCATTCCTTACTAACTCACTCTGTCTCTTGTGAAGCTGCTGAAATTTAAAAGAGGTCAAATCAATAACGCTCCCAATCCCCAGCCTTCGCTATCAAGCATTAAGACACAACACCACGACGGCTCTGCCTAAGGAGCCTTTAAAAATAATGAAAAAAAAAAAACCAAAACCCCAGCGCCGAGGCCGGACAGACAGACGCGAAAACCCGCTCTGCTTCCGGGCATCCCTCCGGCATCCCGCGATGCGAAGCCGTGTGGGCCGACGATTTCCAGCCACGTTTGCCCCCACCCCGGATCCGAGGTGGCTCAGAGCTGGTTCTGGGGGGACTCAACCCTCCGTGGGGGTTTTAATTCCGCTGCCACTCTGCTTTCGGAAGGTAACGACGCGCCCCAGGTTCGTGGGATCTCGATGGGTAAGAGTGATAGGAAACCTTATTTTTTTTTTTAATATTAAATTTATCGGGTTGCTCAGGTTTTAGCTCAAATGGCAAAGTTCTGGAGTTCAGGAGAGGCGTTGATCTGGGCAGAGCTAGTCCTGTCGCCTTGCCTTCTGGAGGAGGGCTGTAAAAACACAAAAAAACGCTTCTTTCCCCGCCCCCACCCCAAAAGGAACCTTTACACCTCCAGAAAGCTCAAACCTACCTAACCCTCCCCATACACCGGTTTACCAGCACCAGAGGGAAAGGAATATGTTCCTAACCAGTTTCCTGGACACACTCAGACCCCCAGGGGCAGAAGCAAAACCACTAAGCAGCAAGTCAGTTTTACCCTGCTGTTTAAACAAAAAAAACCCCCAAAAACCCCAAAGAACACAAAATAATAAAGAAAAACCCACTTCGACACAGAGGCAGCAATAAGCACCAGAGTTCTGCAGTGGTTTAAGGTGGGACCCTGCGCGGTTTCTCCTTCGCTGCCTCCGGGGATGAAGGGGCAGCTCCACTCCGGGTGGATTTGAAGCCTGAAGAACCACCGGCTACGTCAGCCCGCAACCAAGGACGCGGCGGAGAAACTCGCCGGTGCTCACCGGGTGCAAACTGGGGGGCGGTGGGGCTGGGGGGACGGAGAAAATCGG